CCCGGGTCCTCCCTCTTCCCCTTCTTGAAGATGGGGACCACATTTGCTACCTTCCAATCATCTGGCACCTGGCCCAAGCACCACGATCGCTCATAGAGCCGTGCCAGGGGCCCTGCAATAACCCCAGCTAGCTCCCTCAACACCCTGGGGTGGAGAGCATCCGGACCCGCTGACTTGAACGCGTCCGGCCCCTCCAGAAGCTCTCTAACCCGGTCCTCCCCAACCTGAGGTCTGAAGGCGATCCCCTCGAGTCCGGCTTCTATCACAGCAGGGAAGTCCCAGTCCCTGCACAAGAAAACGGAGGTGAAGAATTGGTTAAACAGGTCCGCTTTCTCCTCTGACGCAACCGCCAGATTGCCCAGCGTATCCTGCAGGGGTCCCACATTACCTGGCGCCTTCTTCATCCTCCCAATATATTTGAAAAAGGACTTTTTGTTATCCTTAATCTTGGACACAACTCCCGCAGACTTTTTCAAAAGATTGAGATGGTGTTTAAAGTTAAAACTGTTTTGATCTATGCTGAACTGTGGATTAAATTCACCTGGCATCTGAACGAGAATTTGCCCCAGGTTCCACATTAGGCTTATTACTCCCATAGTGCCGTAAATATACCTTGTAGTTGGTAAAGTGTGGCTGAAGAATAAAGAGATCCCTGCTCTGGGGAACTGGGAGGCATGTGCAGGTCTAGTAGGACACATTACAATAGGATATGAAAAAACACAGTTGCATGTGAATGAGCTGCATGTTGTTTGGGGTTTTCTAGTTATTTTTGTTGTTGGAGAGCAGAACAACATCTGAATTGACCTATGTTGGCTTTATGTTGGTACTTTGTTATCATTACTGCAAAAAAAATCTCCAATTTTAGGAAGGCTTGGAACTGAGGCGGAAGGCTGGGTGGCTTTTAATCTTTGTTGCTGAGTCAACTGCCTAAAATAAGCGATTTAAAAGACGTCTTGAATGCAGTGTGTTATGTAGGGCTGCTAGAATTAAACAATGCTTGATTAAAGCAAAGCTAGAAAAGTTATGGATTTACTATTTGTGAGTTGTGTGTATGTATAATACATCAATTTATGTAGAACAATGTTTCTGTATATTGTGTATACATCTGTGTGTATGCATATGTATTTCATATGCATGTGATTAGAGTCAACAGATTTATTTCAATAGTAGTAAATTCACTAAAAAATGGATGCTCAGTAACACTAAAACTGTTTTGACTTTGGGTCAAATTACATGAATGGATTCAGCTGAAAAAAATGGACTGGAAATCTGGACGTGCTGACTATCTTCTTGGAATCCAATATAGGTGTTTCAGGTGATTAAGAAGTCTCTTGTGTTTTATAGTTTAGCAAATAACAGTGGTAAAGAGGCTGAAAAATGGAATTGTTTTGGATGGGTCTTCCCCTCTTCACAAGGAAGAGATGGTAATAATTGAAACAAGATAGTCTCCTGTGAAAATTACTGGCAGGTTTCTCTTATGAACTGTTGTACAAAGGATATGTCAGCTTGGTGCCTCTGTTGAGCATCACAGATGAAAGACGATAATTTTTTTACAATGAATACAACTTCAACAGCTCCTGATCCCAGCTTCCAAACTCAATGCATGTTATATTTCAGGGTAATAAGAATTAGAAAGAAGTAGCAGCAGGTTGACTGCTACATGAGGTTTGTCGAATAGTAGGGTAAAAGGGACCTCAGGAGGTCCCCTGCTTATTTACTAATGATATTTATATAGTATCCATCACTGTCATATCTAACCACAAAATACAGTTTGATCACTCACTTGCCCCAACAGATTTATTTCTAAGGTACCCTGGCAAACTTTAAATTTAACTCTTAAAGACATTTCATCGTCAAGGGCCTAAGCTTTGTACATGGACTCTAAAAATTGTATGCATCTTCTCCATCCCTTGTTCTCAGCTTTTTCCTTTTTTGATTTTGAGTATTTTATAATGTTTATATTAAGATAACCTTGTGAAGTCCCAAAGAGATATACGTTGCATTGTTCTAAACACATGCATGCACATACATACTCTGAAAGACTGTTCCTGAGGAGCTCACAATCTGGAGGAAAAAAGGTACCTCCCTGCTACCAGCAGAAAATGGAGAGAGGGAGGATGATTGGTTGTCAGATATGATCCAGTCCCCTTCCCTGTACTGAGGTAACTAGAGCATCTCTGACACAAATTTGTGGAAGGGACATTTTCCTTAGAGAAAATTCATGGAATCTTTTTCTTACAAGAAAGAGACCTGAGGAAGGGCATTTTTTTGCCCAAAAGTGGTCCAATATTTGTGCCAACTACATAGCACATCCAGTAAAAGTTATTACCAACCAAAGCCTGCTTCTCCCTAAATGTATATACTTGAGTTTGTGCTTCTGTGATTAAAAGGATAGATTTTTTTCTTTCTTTCTTTTCTACTTTTTACCATCCACACAAACATTTATTTTATTTAATTTTTTAAAGAAAAAAGCCTTCATTGAAACCAGCTCTATCAAAAGAGAGACCAAAGTCCATCTTTATCTTTAGACTAGGTGGTGAAATGCTGGAAAGCATTAGCTGAGAAATCTGGACAGGTTCCATCAGCTACATTTAGCATAACACTGAAATGCTGCCTCTAGCACTGTCATGTTTCAGATTAAATGTTTAAACAAGGCCCCATTTGGCCTGTAATCAGTAAGGATCCCAGCAGCACTTTTCCAAGGCTTAGGGTGCTAACTGCATGACACAAGTCAATAAACTCTGCAGCTTATTGCTCCTGCATGTACTGTTCGAATGTGTGCTCAGGACTGGAGTACGTTGAGCCGGGTCGGAGCAGTTCTGGCTGGTACGAGGTGCAGGGGGGTCAGTCTGCCAACCTGGGGCTGCTTTCCCCATCCCCACCCCACCCTGCCTCGTGCTGCAGGGAAGCTGGCTTGGGCATGAGGGCGCTCCAGCACAGGGCTAGCAATCAGGCGGCCCTCTGCACTGACACACCCTCTTGCCCCAGCCAGCTGGGGCAGCGTCTACATGTGTCATGCTGCAGAGTGAAAAAACTCAACAGCAGGATAGTACTTGTATGTATATGTACTTGTATTTACAAGTACTACCTTGCTATGGAGTTAATTAATTTACTTCAGTGTGATATAAACTCACGTGTAGATGCACAACATTTACTGTGGAGCTAAACAGTCTACTCTGCAGTAAACGTCCCGTGTAGATGCACCTGCAGTATCTGAATTACTTATCTGAACTTACTTCCAGTATAGTTTCTATTTTGATCCTAACTGCTACTTATAAGACTTGGCAAAGGTAGATAATAAATGGACAAGCTAATTTGTTTTGGACCCAGGAAGGCCCTTGGTAACAGTTCTTGCCCTCCCTAAGGTTTATTGCAAAATGAGAATGTTCTCTTTGTCTCTGGCACCCAGTGAGATTTGGTTGTTAACCAAAGTAATACTGAGTTCAGTTTCTAAAATACTTGGAATCTAATTGTTGACTTTTGGGTACATGGGATCATTGCTCTTTTTTGCCTTTAAGCTTCCAGATGATCTCTGTACACATTTTCTTGTTTTAGTCCCTGTTCTGTTAGAGAGCTTGTTCCTGGAAATCAGAAATTTTCCCAGTTGGGCCGAGAGACTGCTCTGGAACCTTTCCCTGGAAAGGGTTACAGAAACTCTAAATGGCATGACTCGTGCCATTTGGGAAGGGAAAGTTTGGCCTAATGGGGAAGGTGTGGCTTGACAGGGAGCTCATGAGGAAGGAGGCAAGGCTGGGCAGCAGGGAGGTAGTTTGTGACAGTCAAGTTTGGGGTTGCTTGTCAGTGTCGCATGTATGCCAGCTTGGTGGCTGGAAGGAGGGGCTTGGCTTGAGAACCTTTGCCATTAGAGAATGACATCCTATGACCTTCACCCATTGTCTGTTGTGCAGTTTGCCCCTGAGCCACAAAGGCTTTCTTTCCATTGTGTCTCTTTTTCTCCATATATCATGCCTCATCTTTCCTACAAAAGTTGACCTTGGAGCCTAACTGCACGTGCTGAACGCTGGAGCAGCAGGTGAGTGCTCCCGGAGTAATCCAGTTTTTTCACTTGCTACAAGGTGGGCTTCCAAATCCAAGTGCAGCATTATCTTAGTTTAAAATACCTTATCTTCAAACTGACTTGTCTGTCTGTGTTTGGGGAAAGTGATGTCTCATATATAAAGGACTGGTTTGCAGAGCTCTTTGAAGATGCAAGCTGCTGTGAGCCATACGTGCTGTTATTATTTGTGCAGCATTAATCACTGTTCATTTAAATTCATTTCCACTGCAGCCATGCTGCTGTAATTATTTTGCACTGTGGTCTACTTGTTCAAGCACCATATATTAAAGGAAAGCCGTTTGCTTGCTAAATGAATCATATGGTGGATGTCAACACCATGTTTATACTTAATTAAACATTCCTGAACCAGGCAGCAAGCAAATGTGTGCATAAAAGCTGTGCTGCCGCTTTACATTCTGTCTAAGCAAGGAGAGCCTGGCATCTACTTCAGATGGTGTCAGCTGGCTTGTGTCTGAGCTTTACTGCTACATTAATGTTTGGTTCAATTGACTATACAAAGGAGTTGACATTTGGGAAAAACACTGCCAGCTTGGATTTTGGGAAATTCACCTACATTAAAATCATTTTTAAATTTCCAGTGGCCTTTATTAAATATATGTTGTCGTATGGAAATACTTTTATGTGTAGAGTGGTGTCATGAATGGCTGAGATGAACAAATCTTTTGGAGTCCAGTACCACCCCCCCTTCCCCTAAGACTCTATGTGCAATCCTTCGTCCAACTATATCACGGTATTACCTATTTCATGGCATTGTCAGTCTTGCAATGTTTGATCTGGATTCTTTTTACAATCCCAGCCCTGGGGTCACTTTATTTTCTGAGGATTTGAATTTACGTGTTTAAAAACTAACTAAAGTCTCTGGTACCCCTGGTTGTGCAGGAAAATATGATCCTGAAAGGCACAGAAAAATAACCCAGAGATAATCGCTTTGAATCTCCTTATTTTAAGCTACTCTCATTGAGGGTCCTTGTCACTTGTATACATTTTTTTCTTTGGTGCCCAGAGTTGGATACAGAAATTAATAAATATGATCTCCCTCTGTGTAATAGTTGAATGCTTCTCAGTAATCAAACAGAAAGAACAATTAAGGGCCTTTTTTTAGCCTGTGGTAGGGACAGCTTGGCTTGGGCTTGAGTGGGAGGGTTATACATAGGCAATGTGGATGGCCCTGATTCTGTGGTGTGGGCAGCCCCTGCACTGATGTCAGTGGGGTTCCCCAGGAGTGCATAGTCTGCCTGAAAACTTCCACCCTCTACATTCCTGATGCAGAATGGAGTTTCTTTTCTACCGAGGAGCACTTTTACAGTCTTTGAATTCTCCTCAGCCTGAAGAAGGGTGTATGTGCCCAAAAGTTTGCAAAAAAGATTTTTTTGCTGCTATTTAGTTGCTCTAATAAAAATATATTGTCTCTGGGTCAAGAGTTTTGTGTAATCTGCCTGAGTGAGGCTATGTGACTGATCAGGCAGGAATGAAAGAAGGGCTAGAGGGCACATTTTTGTCATGAAAATGCTCTTGCATGCAATTTCACCATGCAGGATAGAGAGGGATACAGTGGCAAAGGTTGTACTGTGAATAGTTGAGTTATAATACCTCTTATATGTTGAGGGTTATTGTTAAATGCTAATTACATTGGTGTACTATCATTTTCTCAGTAAGTGTTATGTTAACAAAGAGTGCATTTTTGGTTAATGGGACATTATTAGAAGATTGCAAAGCATCCCAACTGTTTTCCATGATTAAACTGCTGGGGGGGGGTAGAAACCAACCCGAAGAAATCATCCTATCTTCTGTGCTTTTCACTGTTTCTTTAAAGAACAGTAAAAACAGCCAATCCTCAATATCATATTTACTGAAATAGAAGATGACCCTGCCTTGATTTTGTCCATTTCCCACAGCAGGGAAAATAAATCTGGGGGTCAGGTAGCCTTTGCTCTCTGCTTCCCCCTAACTCTTTCCCCTGGCAGCCCCTTCCCCTCTCCTCACTATCAGACCCTGCTCTCCCTGAGCACATGGAAGTGAGGAACAAATTTAAAAACAATCAGCTTGAAAATAAACATGGGTATAGCAATTTTCATATAGTACCCATGCAGTTGGTTTATCCAGAATTGATATATGTTACCTATGTTTGAAACTGCTACAAGTTTGAGCACAGGTACTTCATAAACACACTCTTGACCAGCACTTTGGAACCTACTTATATATAGCAGAAACTGAGTGATATTAGTCCAAAGCCACAGGCTCATGACTTACCACATAGTTCATTGGGCTGGACCCCACCAGAGTCAACAGTGTTTCAAGCCATGATAACCCCAAAGCTCAGCGCTGCTCAGTATGTGTGTGTACTCTAGATAGCACATGGATCCTTTGTGGGGGGGAGGTGTTATTAGCCCCACTCATGACTGGAACCAGGTATTCTTGTCACTTGCTCTGGGATGCTCCAAAAATGTATATGCAGGTGAGGTGCAGGGCAACTTGGTCCAGTTTCAACCTCATGGAGAGGAGGGTCACACTAATCATATGCACTAGGCTAGAGATGGGACAACAGAGGGATTCTGGGTGAACTGTATGCAGTGTTTTAGCTCACCATGACTTGAAAAAGAGTTGGCCATGAGGGGGCACTACTGTTCACCTTATTCAGAAGGTTTATACCAGCCTATTCTTGTGGTAGGTTCCCATCAGCACTTACCTGATGGAAACCTACAGGGGTAGAGGAAATACTGTGACCACTAAGGCAGTTTTCTTAGTCACTGGGGATAACTGCTTTTGTGGTATGGAGTAGTATCCAGCTGGAGGTAATGTGTAGTTAACCTCCCACTTTCATTTCCAGTGGGAAAACCTTGACTTTACATCCACTTATGGAAATGGGAGACTCCTCCGTAGCTTGTTCCTGCAGCTATACTGCTGAGGGCAAGTGAAACTTGGGGGTATTCTAACCCTAAGCCTCCAGAACTGCATGTTTGATGCCTGCCAAATGATCTGGAAGCATCTGAAGCCCCAGGTGGGGATGGAGGATGTTTGCCAGTAGTAGGGCCAAATATGGTTCTTGACTACCTCACAGATTTGGAATCGATTTGGCTGATTTGGCTTGGAACACAAAAAATTTTCCTTAAAAAAATAATAATAAAAAAATTAAGCATGTTTGGCTTGGTCAGTGTTGGCTGCATTTAATCAACTTCATAGTTGGTTTTTATTGCTGAGCACATATTGCTTTTGACAGCAGTTTAATGATAGACAAAGTATTTAGTGAGATTTCCTTGCATGCAATTTAAAAGACAAAGGGTTTTTTTCCCCATGCCACTTCAGATCAAAAAACCTCATCTTGTATTCAAGTAAATATGATACTTTATCTCTGCAAAATGCTGACCGGGAAGCTGGTAGGAAGAGTTTCCTTTTGTAATTTAACAGTACCCCTGAGGGTACTAATACATGGTTTGTATTAAAAGACTGATCTGTTTAATCAACTGCAGTATTCCCTTTTGCCTGGTTTTAATTGTATTACATAAACTTTTGTCCTTCTTTGATACTGAGTTTTTTCCTGTTTGCATCTCTTCCAACCGCACAGTGATTAAACACTGCAACTGTTAACATAGCAGCAGGTCAGCAGAACAAGAAAAGTAAACAGGACAGTTTAGCTACATGTCAGACAAGGGCAACATCAGGCTTCACTGAAAATCAGTATATCCTCTGGGCAAATCGTGCATACCCAAAATATGGGATTGGGTCTTTATGTATGTCCTCAGTGACCATTGATGCAACCTGCGTGTGACAAACAACCTGCATTGGTTGCTCTTATTGCTTTGAGACAAGTGAGGTACAGGAATAGTTCCATGATTTGTTAAAAATTGTCCGGTTTTGTAGTGGAAGGGAAGAAATATTACAGAAGCTTGTCTGTCTCAGAAGTCTCCACTTGGTTTAATAAATGTACACATTTTTTATGATTAGTAGTAGGGATGTGAAAGGCTAAAGGATTACTCCTTCAACTGATAAGCCCAGTGATAACCGGTTAGTTTTCCAGTTATTGTTTAGCTCTGTCCTGGGGCAGCCTAGCAGGGAAGCTGGGGAAAGGAAGGTGCATGGTGCCCCAGAAGGCGGCAGGGCGGGGAGGGGCAAGGGGGACTAGTAACCATAGCCTGAGAGTGGAAAACAGCAGGGTCCTAAGGACTCATCAGTTAAGCAATTAGCTGCTCCTTTACAGGTGCTCCCTCCATCCCAGCTGGCGGCTTCATGTGGGTTGCCCATCCCCCCCAATCAAAGGGCCCCAGGAGCAGCTGTGTCCACTGCGTTAACTGTTAACTGTTTAACCAATATAATTCGAGAAGATCAAATGAATATTTTTAAAAATCATATTTAGATCCGTAATTATTATCTGTTGGTAAAGGCTTTATGGGGGGCTGGGGGAGAGAAAGGAATTGTGGAGGAAATTGCTTTTACCCCACTCCAGCTTAGGCTCAAAAGTAATTAATGTCTCTGAATAAAATGGAGAGAGTGATAGGAAGGGCTGAGAGAGAAAATAAAAGATTTTGTAGGAGTTTTTAAACCTTCTTCTGTCGATCATTCATTTGTTTTCTAATTTTTAGACCAGTACACAGTTACCAAGGTTTGATACCTGTCTGAGAGAGGCAGGCAGATGGCTCTACAGCCAGTCAAATCCTCCACTTCACTTTGCCCTGTAACTTGAAAAACAGGGAGAAAATGAACAAGCACAGCACTTCCTTTGTTTTCTAATGTTGTTGCTAACATGCAATCATTCATACTAATGACAGTGAGTTCCCTAGAAGTATTAGAAATTTTTCTCCAGCCTTTTGGTAATGCTGCTGCACAGCATTTAATGAAACGGCATTTATTTTCAAGAGCAACCTTTTAGAACTATCTATAGACAGGCTTTTTTTTACTATCCACAAATGAATTCCCTGAACCTCTTACTATGTAAATAAACTCTGTTTCCAGTGAGTTTG